CCGCTGGTGCGCTGAGCGTGTGGCTGGTGCGTGCGCAGGCCGGGCGGCGAGGTGCGCTTCCACTTCCTGGGCGGGCGGCGCGACGGGGCGCGCGTGCGGGACGCGCTGGCTCGCCTGGTGGAGCGCGGCCGCCTGGGCAACGTGTCGCTGGTGCCAACGCAGCTCGCCTTCCGACAGGAGCCCACGCTCCTCTTGCAGGTAACACTCTAACGCCAGATTTTCATTCGTTATTAATACTGTCGGGCTATACTCGAAGCCATAAGTGGAAAGTGGTGGTGTTCGTCCCCGGCTGTAAGGTGTGTTTGAAGCGGAACTAAGCCTGCCTTCCGGAGCCCATTTGTGCACCTGACATCTCATTTGGTGTAGTGTTGCGCGACATGTGATAGTATAGTGCATGTGAGTGTAAGAATATGTGTGTGCAAGAGTGGAAGGGAGAAAAAGGTTGAGAAAGGAAAGTTTGCGCTTCGTTTGTGCTGAGTTTATTACCGAAGTTCAATAGTATTCTCCTAGTTTTGATCAGAGTTCTTCGAATGTATTCTCATTTGCTTGACTAGTCCATACATAGTTTCCTTAAACACTGAAACAGTTTCTTTAGTTATCTCAATATTTTCTCGAACACGTCCTACTTTACAAAGTCAATGATCATATCAAAAGGAAGTTAATTTCTCCTTTTCTTGCCCTATATTTTCTTAAACTCAACCGTGTTGAAAAAAATGATTAATAAATCTCTTTAATAATGGATCAAAATTCAGCTGCGAGCTTCAACTTTATTGTTATTTTGTTTGACCTCCAACTTTCAAACAAAAATGTTATCGTTACTAAAAGTCTCATAACGCTACGATAGTGAACGGTAGTTCCTAGACGTAACATTCTGCTAACAAGAAAACACTAAAATTCAAGTACGGAAGCAATATTGTAAACTTTTACGTACCGTTTCTGCAACGCTATGCGAAACATGTTGCTGTTTTTGTTTGTTTTTTTTGCGCTCATGATTTAAGATTTTCATTTATCTCTTCCTTGCACGCAAACTTCTGGAAGGTTCCCTTACTAAACGGCAGCTAGGTTCCAAAAAAAATCCGCAAACTAGAGTTGAGGAAGTGCTCCGTCCGCTAAGCGTTGTAACGAGCCACCCCGCCGTAAAGACGTACACGCACGCACGGCCGCCATCGCCAATATTTCCGCGCGCGCTCTCGCGAGTAGCTCAAGAAGTGTTCAAAAAGTTGAAAGCTACTGCCTTCATTAACCGTCGGCCGCGGCGTGAGGTGCGGCGTTATCAAGCCAAGGGCCGAGGCCCTAACGCGTGGGAAGGGCGTCGTCTCGAAGGGAAACGCCCTTTCCGTTACGAGGTCGCGGGGCGTGGATGACGCGAGAGGGGAAGGGGAGGGGAAGTAATGCGCATGCGTGGGCGAGGATGCGTTTTATGTCGGTGGACGGAGGCGCTCGGGGGAAAAGATTGCAGCCCTACGGGCTTCGAGGTTTAGTTTGGAAAGCGAGGCGCGTTCGAAATTAAGTTTCCGCAGGTCGTCAACAAAAAGAAAACTCGGTTTCAAGGGAAAAATTTATTTTTTTACTTATTTAAGGTCGCTTTTCACTACTAAGGTCATATAGCGACCACTGTAAGTAACATTGGGGATGTCGGTAACGGTCACACATAAACATCCATACCCGGGCGTAATTCTAACCCGCGACCCTTTAGGCACGAGGCAGCTCTTCAGTCTCAGCGACCTCGGCTAGTGGGCTAGCAAGGGAAAACCTTATTCTAGAAGATTCAGTAACAGCTGCTTTCGTCTTGCCGTGGGATCAACGTTTGTAAACCTGTGATGGACAAACACCTCCCAGTGAAATGCTGAAGATCTGGCGTCGAATGGTGTGTGGTTGATCATGTCTGCCCTTCAGCCCGTATTTCACCTACGCCCCCCATCCTCCAAAGATATCGATCTTTTCTTACACCTCATAGATTACTGACCATTCAACACTAGACGATTGACGCTGACGGAGAATTGCAGGTGCTGTCCATCACTGGTACCTATCTCAGTCGGCGGACTTCCACGATGCGGGGATACCGCAGATATTGATCCCACGATATGACAAATGCCTTATTTCCAATAGTGGTTTTGTGAAAAATAGTGAAACGTATCTGTATTGTCTTTCCGTGAAATTGAGTTTTATTTTTGTTGATGACCCAGGGAAATATAGGTCCTGAATCGTGTACAAACTACCTCGTCCAAACTAAACCTCGAAATGGTCGTAGGAGACTCCGACGCCCCAATTAGCTGGCTTTGTGGCAGTGATGCCGAAGGCGGGCCTGTTTTATGGGGGAGGTGTCAAAGGCAGCTAATTACTGAAAAGTAGTGAGTGCAGTAATTACAATTCGCCGAAAGTTGCCAATGATCTTACCTGCACGCCAAGTTTCAATATAGGAGCTTTGGAAAGGTTACTTGGGTTACTTTCAAAGCTGGCGTGATGATTGCAAACTCCGGGAGCAGTCGCAACAATTTCTGCAGCACTAGTGGCAATGCATCCAGGCATCAGGACGTAAGCGCTCTTTTAGGTCAGCTGCAGATCCACTGTGTGTTGACTCTGTGGGTAAGTATGAAATTCTAATTACGAACGTCAGCGATGCACTAGGTAGCAGGTTTAGAATACGCTCTCTCTCGGCCCGAAATTACACCACCAAGGACAGCAGCGAAATTCGATTTCTGCACAAACAAACAAAAAACGGAACTCTCCAAAGGAATAACTCAAGATGTGGGCTGCAACTCTCTAGCACATTGAGCCAAGCCGTCTCTGATCCCCAGATAATTGCAACCAATGATATTCAGTATCTCAGGTGCCGCAATAAAATATCTGCTGCCCGAAGTAGTCCATTTTGGTCACAAGAGAGCAGTTGTGAAAGCGGCGCAGTAACTTCCACCCGAAACTAAACTACGTTTGTTTATACACTTGTTGATTTTCGTTTTTTATACCTTTTGTTTTCTTTTTAGGATTGAAATAATTGTTATTATGTGATAAACACGCTATTGCAAGTTTTGGCAGTACTATCACAGTAGAAAAACAAAGATAACTCTGATATTTTTTTCTTTTTCAAAACACTAGTGTTAAACTTATCGCACGCCGCCCATGATAGCTCGAGCAGTGTTACTAATATGAGTGTGTGTGTGTTTATACACACACATACACACATTCAAGACATCACTTTACAAGAAGGGGCTTAGATGCCTCGGGAATTCAACTGACGTCGCTACAGTGCTCCTGACCGGGAGTCCCTAGTATTAAAATCTCTACGGCAGCAGAATTTCCTACAATAGACACATAACTAGGTCGAGTCAGACTCTGTCTATAGGAGAATTTCAGCGACCGGTGGCTCTGATTGGTAGTTTTCCGAGGTTTCTCCGACCACCAGGCGAATGCCGAAGCAGTACCCTAAAGAAACGGGCCACGGACAGATTTCTTTCCTCTTGTTTGTTTTATCGTCGCTCCTTTTTAACACACACTTAGGCTTACACGCACTACACCCCTACACTTGTCGCGAGAGCAGTCGGGAGCTTAGGGCTGATCGTGGCTGGCGCGGCGCCCGGTCGGGAGATATTCGGTTGGGGAACGCACCACTGGCCGACGTGTATGTCGACGCCGGATATCGCCATCCAGATGGGAAAGATCTCAAATGAAATCATGCGCTACTCTTACGGGACGAATAAGCTTGGCAATTATCGCGCAGAAAAACACTAATAATTAAATTCATTCATTTCACAAAACCATGTTTGATATTCGCTTATAATAAAAATAAATTGGCAATGACAAAATAAAATTTTCATGAAAACCTATTGAAAGGAAATATTAAAGTTGATTTTTATAGTACATCTGGTTATTTATTTAGTTATTTAACCATTGCATTCTAATAGTTCGGATGAACGGTGCATTGGCTAAAGGAAGCCCGGCAGTCTCCTTAAGCGCCGAGGTCCTGCGCGCAGTCTGGGCCGCGCCCTTGGCTGGCCCCGCCCCCACGCGTGTGCGTGTGCGTGTGCGTGTTGCAGAGCGTGCGCGTGAACCACGAGCGCGGCGTGGTGCGCGAGGACGACGAGTTCATCCTGGCGTGCGTGGCGCAGGGCTCGGCGCGCACCACCTTCCGCTGGTACAAGGACGGCGCGCCCGTCAACCACAGCCGCGCGCTCAGGTGAGCCTCCGCCAGCGCCTCCGCCTCCACGCCTGCCGCCCTTTACGACTCCGCCTCCACCTTTGTCTCCGCCTTCTCTGCCTCCGCCAGCGCCTCCGGCAGCCCCCCCTCCTGCCACCGTCTACGTCTCTCGTCCACCACCGCCTTTCATTTACCTTCTGTGCTTCCATTTCTTCCAATTCCATTTTCATTTTTGTATCTGCTCCATGTATGCCTCCCTTCTCTACCTTTCTTGTTTTTTTCCATTCCTCCCACTTTTTCTTCCTCTTCTTTCATCCAGGTCTCCCGCCTCCTCCACCCCAGCCCTCTCCCCATCTCCCAGCCCCAGCCGTCTCCCTCTCTAAATCCTCGCAGTTTTCCCGCCTCCTCCACCCCATCCCTCTCCCCAACCCATTTTCTCCTCCATAACCTTCACGCTGCCCTTCCTATCCACCTTTACCGCCTTCTTACTCTTTCTATCTCCAATTCGTCTCACCTCGAAGGTTTCCTTCTCTTCTACCTCGCCTTCCTCCACCTCCATCTGGCGTTGCAGTACCTTTCCCGCAGCCCTGCGACGCGGGTGATAGGTTGCAGGCGCGAGTGGACGCAGATGCTGTTATCCTCCCTTCACCTATTCCTTCTCCACATCTGTATCCCTCTACTCTTCTCTATTTCTCTTTCTTCATCCACCGCTCCTGTTCTCTTCTCCTCGATTTCTCTACACCTCTTCCCTCAACGTTTTTCTTCTCCTCTACTCGTCTTCTCTACTCTCCCTCTACCCTCTTCCACTCCGTCCTCTACTAATATTCTTCTTCTCTACTCTCCTCCTCATTCTTTCCCAATTCTCCTTCTTCCTGCACGCCTTCTGTTCTCCCCTACTCCTTTACTTGCTCTTCTCCTCTTGGCTCGCCCGGGTGATGCGGCGCGTGGGTGCGCAGGCGCGTGTGGACGCAGCTGCTGCCGGCCGACGCGCAGGACCAGTACACGGCGCTGCTGGGCGTGGAGCGCGCGCACCCGCTGGACGAGGGCCGGTACACGTGCCAGGTGACGGACTGGGGCGTGCAGCAGTGCCGCTCCCTGCGCCTGCAGGTGCTCACCCGGCCGCAGGTGCGCCTGCTGCCCATGAGCGCTACGCTCGAGCGGGTGAGTGCGGCGCCAGCAGAGGGAGCGCGCGCGTGGGCTGGCGAAAGCTGATGTAAGCAATTCTCCCGCTTTGAGAGCCGAGGCCGCTAAGGCTGAAGGGCGGTGGCTGCCTGGCTCGAAGGGTCGCGAGTTCGAATGCCGCCCCAGGCATGGATGGTAATGTGTGTTCTCGGTGTCCATATGTGTGTTCCCCTTACCGTTTCCCTGAAATCTGTGTAAAATTAAATGGACGTGTCAATAGGCTCGTCATGATGTGCCTTTAATGCTTTAACATACAGTTCAAGGGCTGACCGTTCAAAGTTATGAATCAGTGTGAAGTTATTTTCATTCTATACTTTCCATTGATAATATTTTAATAAAAACAATATTTGTTTAATTGGAATTGAATTATTTGAAAATTTTTCTTTCGACTTTGAGAAGTTAAGTAAATTAACCTGAAATAGTATTTACAGTTATTACATACTAACGCTATCTTGGATTGATAAAAAAGTATTCAATAAAGCAAAAAATTGAATGGTCCCAATATTGTATCTATTTTTTCACATGTATAGCCTAGATTATATAAGACGTATAATCACGACGTAAATTTAAAATTATAAAAATACGCATGGCTAATTCGCAAAACACTCGCAAACATTCAAAAATATTTTTCATCAAAATGTTTGTCCTCTTTAGTGTGCCATCACGAAGTATGCGAATGGAGAAATGTCTTGTTTTAAACTCAGAAGAACCTCAGACATTTTAAGAGGCTTGCTTCATCGTATCTCAGAGATACGCCCGATAGCTTGTCCATAACGAGACCCTTGCCTGTGAAATGATTGGAGCGAATGGTTTTGCTGTGGCAGGGCGACGACGTGAACATCAAGTGCATGTCGCCCAACGACCAGCGCCTGGAGAAGTTCGGCTTCAACTGGACCAAGAACAAGGCTCTGTTCCGCATGCGGCCGGGCAGTGAGGTGTGGGAGGACCTCAACCCCTCGGGCTCCATCCTCAAGATCTACAACGCGCAGGTATGGCCCCGCTCCCACTCCCACTCCTGCTCTCGCCTTCACGCGAAGGACAGACAGGAACGCAAATGGACGGATATAGAAACCGTCACAGACAAACACATGGACAGATAGGTATGGATACGGAGGAAGTTGAACGGATGATCGGCCAGGTAGTTGGACAAACGGACCAACATATGGGACAGACGGACAGCCAGGCAGGACAGGCAGGCTGAAAGACTGTTTGGTAGACGAACGGGCGGGTAACTGGGCAGGTGGACAGACCTGAACTGGCAAGTAGATGGTCAGAGAGGTAGATGGTCAGGCGAACTGACGGGCAGGACGACTGACGAACAAGAGGACAAGCGTGCAAACACAAACGAGCAATACAACTCAAGATCTACAACGGGCAGGTACGACCCCACTCCTGTGCCTGCCTTCACGCGGACAGACAGGAACGCAAATGGACGGATATAGAAACCGATCGATGGACAGGTACACAGACAAACACATGGACAGATAGACAGCGAAACGGAGGCAGTTGAGCGGACGATCGGCCAGGTAGTTTGACAAACGGACCAACATATGCGACAGACGGACAGCCAGGCAGGACAGGCAGGCTGAAAGACTGTTTGGTAGACGAACGGGCGGGTAACTGGGCAGGTGGACAGACCTGAACTGGCAAGTAGATGGTCAGAGAGGTAGATGGTCAGGCGAACTGACGGGCAGGACGACTGACGAACAAGAGGACAAGCGTGCAAACACAAACGAGCAATACAACTATCACAAGCAGATACGGGAAAGAATCAAAAGACGCATACATGCGAGACAAAGACGGAAAGGCTTCGTTCCACCCACAGAGAAAATGACATTTCGGCACTTGAGAAACAATACTTTGTAACAATATTATTACCGAAAATTATCGTCCTCCTTTGATTTTTTATTCGTACGTAAGCAAATAGAATAAAAAATGGTTTGTTTAAGTTTGATCCCTATGCCTTTTTTATGCACCTAGCTGAGTGCCGAATAAAAGTACCATCAAAACGAGATTGGCAATATTTGAAAACTATAAATTTATCTCCGGAGTAAAAGAAAATTTATTTTCATACGTAAGCGAACTACAGATGTTATTTTTTAGTATTGCTTACAAAATAGTAACTCACACCCCCGGCTTCCTACTACAACTAGAAACTAATGCTGCTAAAACACTAAATACTTTTTCCCCGTACTTTCACGCAAAATTACTACTTTAATTGTTGAAAAAAATGTACATTTCCTGTTTTCAAAATCTATCGCTAAAGAACAGATTTCATTCAGGGAAAAATATCTTATCTTCCTAATTGTATTGTAGGAAGACGCCGAAAAAAAATTTGAATTTTTGCAATTTTCGAAAATCTGAGTTTTTATCGAAAATGAGACCTGCGCCATTCTTCTAACCGTCCTTCACGTTATTCAACAACAAAATTTCATTAAAAAATGGAGTCCTTTCTTTTCAAAATTTTGAAAATGTCCTGAGGGCTTCATGGAAAGTACACCACCAAAATTAAAAAATTTTGAACTTAAGGGGCCGCGACATTACCAAATAGATTATGGTATATCAATTTTGGAGAAAACGGCTGAACGCGGTTTAGCTGTTAGCGTCGTTCAAACACCGACGGACAGAGAGACAGGCAGGCAGGCAGGCAGGCAGGCAGGCAGGCAGGCAGACAGACAGACAGACAGACAGACAGACAGACAGACAGACAGACAGACAGACGTTTTGCTGTCATTCAATTTTTCAGTATGAAGGACCCACAAAACATGGATTCTGGCAATACCACAGATTAGAGGATTTTTTTCTTCAAAAATTTAGCAACCTGATTTATCTACTTTTTCGTTACCAGGATCCGACAATTATTTTTTTCGGCCGAAAATTGCCCATGTTTTCGCGCAGCATTTTATAACTTTCCCTCTACTGCGCAAGCGGTGGCGAAAAACTAAAAGAAATTCTCCACTAAAAGTGCACGTAAAAATGCTGACGTTGGCTGCGCGTTGCAGAAGTCGGCGCAGTACACGTGCCTGGTGCACGGCAGCCTAGCGAGCCGGTCCGCGACGGTGCACGTGGAGGTGGTGAACAGCTCGCTGGTGCCGCTGTGCGCGGCGGAGGCGGCGCTGGGCGTGGCGTGGCCCCGCGCCGCGCCGGCCCAGCTCGCCGTGCAGGAGTGCCCGGCGCCCCGCTCGGGGCTGGCCCGCCGCCTTTGCCGGCTGCGCGACGCGCGCCGCGCCGCCTGGGCGCGCCCCGACTTCTCCCACTGCCTCTCCGCGCCGCTGCAGGCCATCCGCGACAAGGTGAGCCTCCCCCCACCCGACCCCACTCTACCAGACTCCACCCCACCAGACCTCACTCGAACTGATCCGACCCGACCTCACCGAACACGACCGCACTCGACCTGACCTTCCCTACCCGACCTCACCCGACCCTACTTCACCTTGTCTGACTCAGGCCGCGTCGAGCGGACTATCCCCGCCTGCCCTTCTTAGGGGGGGGTGGCCTTCTTAGAGTGCAGAGGCACAGTTTGGTAAAGGGCTAAACTGCAGATCATCTTGGGGTTTATTTTTTTCCAGAAGTCTTACCTAGTGGGTTTAATGCCAATGCATATTGTTATTTCTAGGCTACCTCATTGTTTATTTTTCGTACAATCACCTAATTTGTTAATTCCAAATCACCTAATACCTATGGTTTAGACATTTTGTATGATGACTTATAATAAAATGTCTATGCACATTAATTATTTCACAATAAAACTGTAATTGCTTTCTTCCTTCACCATTCCTTTTACATCATCTTTACCATCAGTTTTCATTGTCACAAGAGCAAGTGCTCAAGAAATGTATAAACTATACAAATGTTCGTACTTGATAGTGTAAAAAGAACTTTGGAAATTTTAAAATTTTCAAAACTTTGAATTAAGAATTTTTTTAATTTTGTCAAAATTTTATTTATTTTATAAATATGAAAAAAAGATATTCCTTTCATTTTTCTTCAAATCTAAATGACAGTAAGTTATTAAATTTGAAGTGATTGCTGCAAAATTCAGATCAGTAATAGGAAATTGTCATTGTCCTTGCCCTTTTCTTGAAGGGCCAGAACTTTTTTTTTTAATTTCGTGTTATGTTTCTTCTCATCAGTTTGAAAGCCATAACTCTGCTTTATTCACTATATAAAAAACATTCTTCGAGATAAAGTTTTTTCAATAATACATGGTTTCTCCTGAACATCAAATGATTTTATTTTTAGATTTATTTTGGTTGATGTCCTAATGAGAGATCTTTCAATTTCTTGACAAGCCAACATTCTATCTTAATGTTTAATGATTTCTTTCTTTGACATAGCATCTGCTGTGTAATTTATAAAGAGTAATTTAATTAATTACATTTGTTCTACCTTCTTTAATACAAAAATATGTTAATAAATATCTGCTTGAAATTTCAAAGTGTATGTTCATATTTTTTCAGTTTCGAAGTCTTACTTTGGGCTTCGAAATGACAACAGGGTCTGCCACATTACATGCCTTACAAATCTACCTTTACCGACTGGTAACTCATGGCCAGATACTACCTGGTGAAGGTGAAATGGTGGTAGAACTACTTGCAGAAATTCAGAACTACCTCAACATGTCTTCTGCTAGTGATGAAATTCTCAATTCTACTCATACCTTCTTTCATATTATGAGCCTTCTACTTGGTTCCCAGTACTCCCTTATTAATCAAGAGGTAAGTGTGATATCACAGAATTGATAGTAGCCTGGAACACTGCATATTGTGGGCATTGTGTGCAAATAATAAATGTAACTGGCTAATACTGTTTCTTCCATTTCCTTGATACTGAGACTCTAATTTATTAAGTTCTACTTTCAGTCAAGAAATGGAAATAATAAATAATAATAAAATAGTTTCTAGAAGATCCATGGTTTTTCAAAGTGAATAATAAATAATTAGCATTAATTCTCCAATCCAAATATTCCAATAATATACTTGAAGTGACAATACATATGAATCACCATGTATTTTTGACAAATATTTACAATTTATTTCCAAACAAATTTCCAATAACATGAAACAATCAAAATTGGAAAACTGTAAAACAGCTAATTCAATCCTGTTTAATATATATTTTTTTTGTACCTACCGTTAGTTACGAAAATAATTCCAATATTAGTTATTATGTTTATTGACATTTTAAGAAATAACCATCCACAACTAATTTACGTTGTCATAAGGATGTCCTCAGTGTATTTCTATTTCTCACAACCACCAATAATAAAATAAGCAGAGTTGTAAAGGGCTCAACCAAGATATTTCTCCTTGCAGATGACAACATTCTTCTCTGTACTGAAAAAGTTATCCTGATAACTGCAAACATAGTCCAAAAACCACTAAATGAAATCAATAATCAGACAAATTCTACCAGAATCTTAATTTCCAAATTCAAATTTGAATTGTCAACTAAACATTGACAGAACCAGAACACAAATATTTTACTGAAAATTGTGAAAAGTGTTTACAATGAATTAAAAAGAACCAGTACCTGCAAAATTCTGGGAAAGTTATTTGACCACAAACATTTGACCACACATCAAGGCACTTAAGACAGAATGTAAAAGCAGATTAAATGTCATTATTACGCTTTCATGTAATAAGTGGAAAGCCAAAAACCAAAAGTCGAAAAAAATCTTCAAAGACCTAATTCAGTCTAATCTCGACTAAGGTGCAGTTTTATATAGCTCAGCAAGTAGAGAATTATCAATATACTCGATCCCATAATCCATAATGCATAAGCCTAGCGGCCATTACAACAAAACCATTCAACAGCCTAATAGCAGAAGCAGGCTTTCTGCCAGTAGAATTGTGACATAAACTACTGTGCTTAAACTACTCATACTCAATATTCAGTACACCTCCTAATCCTTCTAACCAATAGATCTTAAGCACCCCTAAAACATACATACAATCTTCATTCTAAATTCCCAAATCCCTTGAGAAAAGACTTCCCTAATTCCAAAATGAGATAAATGTAAACAAACTGCTTATTTTCTCCATGACAATCCCATTCCTTCTTGGCAGATATTCAAATCTATCATAAATTTGGAGGTAACTCAAAACTTTCACCTTATCACAGACTCCAAGACATTACTTTTACCCTGCTGACTGAGTATCTTGAACAATTCCAGAATTACCAGCAAAATTTACAGATGGCTCAAAACGTGACATAAAATCTGATTTGGCAATTGACTCAACCTCATTCTCTATTGAAGAGTCCTTCTGACTATCAGATTACTACTCTATCTTTGGCTGCAAAGACAGTCAGAGCCAAAAAGAATCAACTTTCATCATCGATCAACTAGATGTCCCCATTGTCATCTTCTCTGACTCTTTGTCCATGTTGAAAGCCAACAGAAAAAGATATTCAAATAATAATTTTTCATCCTTCAAGAGCTAATATTTAATCATCAAGTCATACATGGCAGTCAAATTATTCTGTCTTGGATCCCTTCTCACAAGAGGATTTAGGGCAATGAACAAGCTGATGCAGCCGCAAAAAAGCACTACATTTTCGAACAGAGTGTTTATGGTTCACTAAAAGACATTAAAAAGCCCTTTAATGTAAGAATTCCAAAAAACTTGAACTTACTGTGGAAAGCAAAACCATCAAACTCCACCTTGTCAGAAAAATGGTCAAAGAACCATTATTACCCAAGATACAAATTAGTAGAAATAGTCATCCTTACCAGACAACGGATCGGACACTTCAAATTAAGTAGTGGTCACCTAATAAAAAAAATTGATCCACAGAAATATTCCAAGTGTGAAGCACAAGTGACAACCATCCATCTTCTTCTTGAGTGTCCAAACACAGCAGGAGAAAGATAAATATTAATATTTGGAATTAACTGACCTCCTTGATTTATTCAGGACAAGGTCAAATATGTGAAAAAATTCTAAGATTATTATAATCAACCAGGCTTAACTCATTAATATAAGACTCACAGGTTTTTGTTTGTTTTTTCACTATCTGTATAATATCAATATTTTTTTAAATGTAATATCTGTACCCATACAAAAATTTTGCAGTTTTATATATTTATATACATACATACATACATTTATAGCCTGCTAACCTGCTAACCATAAATTAGTATTTAAATTAATTTATAATATAAGTATATATATTATATATATATATATATTATATATATATTAATATATATATATATATATATATATATTATATATATATATATGAAGAGCGACCTTGAAGCGGAATATATTAGAAATACTAATTTATGGAATTATGTTGATTACTTTGCAGGTTAGCAGGCTATTTAACAAGTACAATTATCTACAATTTATTATAAATACCATAAGTGTACATTAATATGTAGCATTTTCCTAGAAGAACTGGCATCTGATCCAAATAAATTGTAAACTACAGAATAACTTCATGATGTTAGATTTTTTTTAAACACCAAAAAATCATGTATTTAATTTGTTGTTGGAAAGGTGTTGTTTCATTTTTTATGGCGATTTAAGCCTTTGAGGTTCCAAAATCATATCAGATTCTGAAAATTAAATTAATTTTATAACTTTATCTTACAGAAAGTGGTACAATTACAAACACTAGTGAAATCCCAAGCACTGCTCTGGGGAAAGCAGTTGGCAGTGCCTGGAGCAGCTCATGCGAACTTCACTTCCATTGCTGTATATGTAGCAACCCTTGATAGTCCTGTTACTCATAAGTTGCATTTTCCTACACGAGCTGTTAAGTAAGTATTTCATTACAGTTGCTTTGTGATTCCTGTAAATTTCCTTTTCAGTTTTGATTTGAACCCATGCCTTTTGTTCTAAACAAAATATGATAAGTCAAATTATATGAATATTATAAGTCAAATTATTTTATTATGATAAGTCAAATCTACATCCCATGTTTGTCAAATATTTTCAGTTTAAAATGATTGATCCTTCACCACAGTCTTAAATGAATTGTTGTGATGTGAAGTTTTTTCATGGATCATTAATTTTTATTGTATCAACTTAAGATAAAACCTTAATACTTTCAAGCCTTGTGTAAATAAAAAAAAGCTGCTTTGTGATTAGGACAAATTTTATTACCTGCCTCTTTTTAACTCATTAAGGTATTTTAACATTACTTTTGTTACAGTGTTCCTTCTTGGGTTTCTGAGAGAATTGACATCTGTACTGATGGTACCACCAAACAAGTGTTTGGGAATGGTTCTTTTAGCATTGCTGTGATAATTTACAAGAATTTGTCACAGTTCCTGCCATTAAGATATGCTGCTAAGTTAAAGTAAATATTATGAATGTCCTCATTATATTATGTGAATTAATGAGTAAATTAATATAGAAGAAGAATTCAGAATTAATTTTGACATTTAAACATTATTTCTTGTAGGAACGATGTGGAAGTGGAATATGAACTAAATTCTCGAGTTGTAACTATAGAGCTGGGAATCAATGGAAAAAGTATAGAGCCTTCATCAGGAACATTTTGGGTTGACTTGGAGCTTGATCATTTAATCCACGATTACAATCCAGAAGAGTGGAATGTGTCGTGTGGTGTTGCGAATTCTGTCACATTTGAGCATTCCTGGGAACTGGAGGGGTGCACTGCACAGACAACAGGATTAAATTCAACTAGATGTAGGTGTTCCCAGTCAGGAACATATGCTATTCTTTTAACTACACAACCTGTAAAGGTAAGTTTTATTCATATACTATTTAGTTTGTGAAACTGTAATATATTCTTGAGATGAGTGTAGCCAATGAGTTTTTGTATTTTGTTACTCATTTGGGTGGTTATATTTTGGTTAAAATGTTTCTATGTGAGGAAGATCTTAAGCTTTGTTGATCTACAGGAGTGTGAGACAAGTTTTTTTCTTGCTTATTATGTATTAGTTTCTTATTGATTTTAGTTTTTATTCTGTATTGTATGATTGTTTCCAAATATAAATTAAATGAATATTGTAAATCATTTAACATAATTGTAAGCTGGAAGGCTTTTAACATAATTGTACTGAAGGCAAGTCAGTAATAGTAGGCCCAAACTTCACAGAAAGAAAGAATACTGAAGTATTTTACAACTAACACCCTCTTCTTTTCTGATAGGAGAATGAAAAATTTTACTTGATAATGAAAATATCAATAATCATGCATAAAAAAATCAGCTTTTTGATTTACAAATTTCTGCCTTATTACCACAGAAATAATAGCTTTTGTAAAACAATACTCCGCTACATTAAAAATAAATCACTTAATATCTTTCAAAATTTCTCTCTCACCTTTTAGGTATTCTTTAGATTGTTGATGTTTGTTATTATTTAGAAATAGAAATATGCATTATAAATAGAGAAATTATATTTTAATTTCTAATTTAATAATTGTATGTTATTGCACTAAAACTACAGAAACATAGTGTCATTCTAGAACATATGTAAGTTTAATTAGGAAAATCATGCTGTGGCAGATAATCATATCAAAATACAATGTCCCAAAGTATAATTACTATAGGGCATGTTTTGATGACCTAAAACATGACCAAAAATTATCAATAAAATGCTCTTAAAATGTTTTTAAAATGCCCTAAAACCAAAGAAAACTGGCATAAAAAATGTGATCAAAACCAGTTTGGATGAACGTAAGCTTTGGGATAAGTTACTGAGATAATTGAGGTTTCTTCCATTCGTCAAGTGACTCAGCTTGCAAACTTTTGGTTTGGACTGTTCTTTACCAGGAAATCTGCCTTTAGTTATAATGAAATCCACCAAACCGACAATGGTACTGATAGGCATCACAGGAATCTTACTCTTGCTTAGGTTACTCAGTACGGCTGTTATTACAATTTCTGAGCAAAGAAATTGAATAGGCTACTCAGGAATTCTGTGGAGAATATTTGTTGTATCTCGTAAATATTATTTCAAGCAAATATCATTAAAATGATATGAACATTTGACATGAATGATATCAGCAAAATATGCATTAAAAACTGCAGAAAAAGGTTAAAAAATAACTTATTAGTCAAAATCAACAAAAAATGCAAAAAACGTTACATAAAAAAATTGGTAATTTTCTTTCATCAGAACCTAAAATTAATTTCTGTTCTAAAAGGCAATATTCTAAAGTGAATAGAAAAAAAACAACATTTCATTAAAATTCATCCTCTGATAATTACCAATCGTAACTTGAAATTCAAATTCTTATAGTTTTCTTTGCTACTTTTAAATTATAAAACTATTATTATTACTGTTGTTATTATTATTATTATTATTATTATTATTATTATTATTATTATTATTATTATTATTATCATTACTACTACTACTACTACTCTTAGTATTATTAACAAGAAATTCAGAAATAAAATATATTTTAATGTTTATTATTCTTACTAAGCAAGAAATTTGTTTGCAGCCAGTTCCTGTTCAACCAAATCGTTACCATATGATTGTGGTAATTGGTTGTACTTGTTGTCTTGTTCAGACAATAGTGACTTTAATAGTTCTCTTACCTTATTGGTGGCATCACAGAAACTGTTTGATATTTCTGAAACTGCAGTGTTGTACAGCCACTTCTGGAGCTATGGGAATTTTCATTTATGCTGTGCGAGACACAGTACCTAAGGTTTGTGATCATAATATATAATTATTACTTTAAAAAAATTACATTGTATTTTTTTTAATCTATTCATATTCAGAAAAGTATGATCTGAAGTTGTGAATGCTTATTTTTTATTTCAGAATTCTTTTCCATATGTTACAACTAGCCTGGAAGCTTTCTTACTAATAGGAATGTCTTCACACCTCAGTAAACTATTAATTGTTTATACAGAAGTAGTGCAAATCCCCAAAGTGAGACATATAAAACAAACTGTAGTCAGTATTATTACAGGTAATCATTTCTTTAAAATTATGTGGGACCTACATTGAACTATCTGTCAATTTTTGTTTTTGAATAATTTCATGTCATTAATTGTTGCTGTTTCTCAGGTGTTCCTGTGTTAGCAATATTGTGTAATCATTTAGCTCACCATTCAACTGGATGGAAACTAACTTCATGGTGGTTGGTTTGTGGCACAATGATATTCAATATTTTTGTGGCATCAGCAGTTATCATGCTGTTACTGTTCGTGTTCCTATACTTCAGTGTTATGCGAAAACTTCATATACTTTCTGGCAAGAATACAGACAGCAACAAAGCTATTAAGCGCAGGTATAATTCTTTTTAGAGAAGAAGCAAATGATGGGCTTGGTTCTAGATGGTCCTTTGCTATATTTCTCTCAAAAATTAAGATAATCCCACTAATGTGCTCACCATTTTGATTATTACATTTTGTGTAAATATTGAAATGCTGGTGTCACAAATTTGGCAAATTCTACACAACCATTTGTTCTTGTACCAAGGCAAGAGATGTTGGATTGAAACTGTTATCTTCATATTTCTCAGAATGATCTTGAAGTGGCATAGGACTATCCAGAGGCCACCTTTCAAACATTAGGGAAAGTTTGCATTTATAATTGAAGCATCCGTCTTTATTGCCTGCTTGAATCCTTCCCTAAATAATTACATAATGCTTGCAACAAGCTCCCCCACCCTCATAAAAAGATATTACAATGATTTGTATTTATTTTATTTGTGTTTTATATAAAAATGTATGATAATTTTAAGACAGAATTAGTTGGGAATGTGAACTGCATCTGACAATATAATAGAGTACAAGTTTTTAATAAATTTAAGAAATCTGATATCAAGTCACGCACATACCATTGTGGATGGCATATTGGCTTCAAGTATATTGCACCAATTTAATTAGATTCTAAAATTTTCCTAATCCGTTTTGAACATTTTCTTTGTAATCTATGGATATACAATTGCTGAAAAAATAATTCAATTTATTATAACAATTTATACATTTTAACTCTTTAATTTATTTGAACTTTTTATTTAATTTGTTGCTATTTTCATGTTTTAGATTAAGACTAAAAAATAAACTATTATAATAAATATTGAAAAAATCAGCATTATGTAACTCTAGACTATGATCCCCCTGCCCCTATGTAATGCAGTCTTAAGCCCCATTCCTGAAGCATTACATAATTTAAAGATGACCCCCTCTTGAAAAAAAGAGAAAAAATGAGTTGCTGTAATTGTAATTTTATTATTTTCCTAAATGGTTCCACTGAAACTATTTCGTGTTTTTAGCCTTCTAGCACTGATTTGTCCACTGCTAATTATGTATGGCAAATTTATTGAAAACCTTTCTCACTAAGCTGTGCAAATCATTTTAAAATTATTCCTCATCTTTCTTTTTTTTAATGGAAGGAAACAGATGTGAGACTGTCTCTTCAATTCTGTAGTTTCTTTGATGAAAAAACTCTATTTTAATTGGTTTCCTTTTTTCAGGGTGGGCCTTCTTCAGAGAGCTGGTATTATATTTGGGGTTATGGTTGTGATGGAAGCTTCCAGTATTTTGTACATTAATGTTCCACATTCAACTTGCCACTACATTTTCAGCTTCACAAGTGCCTTATTGGTAAGAAAATAATTGCAATATGAAATCATACTCCTTATTGTCTTGTGTTTTACATCTTTCATTTATAGAGGATGTGCTGGAATGGGTAAATATTTGATGCTAAGAGTTTGTTGGATAAATAGAGATTGCTGGGAATCAATCTATATTTCTTTCTTCAAGCTCTGAGGAGATAACATGAAGAAGAAATCATTTTGAAGGATAGGCTGGCACTCAACAACTGTGAATATCCTTAAGGATCACTAAAGACTGAATGTGATCTACATACTACTTACTACTTTACCATAAGTGTATCATTCAGTGTACTATTATAGATGAATGCAAATCCAATAATTATTTTATTATCTCTGTATTTCAATTATTTTACATCTACCTCTTAATTGATTTGTTTCGAGACACAACTTTATTTTCTTTTCATAACAGTCTGTTATAATGAAGTCATTATGCAACTAGTGCGAACCAATACATCCATTAGAGCACTAGAGCTATATGAATCTTGTTTTGGCCTTCACAGGAGTCTGCTAAAGAAATATTAATAGTTATTTATGAAATAACTATTAATATTAATATTCTAATATTATAACTAATATTAATAGTTATTTATGAAATAAGTATCATAAGCCATCTTATCACTATTATATGAGATTGGATCAAATGAAGCCATTAAGTTTTGATAACCAATTAAGAAGTGTAATAAAATGTTATATAAGGAATATTGTAGGTTTTATCCACTTTGTAAAAGTTTCACTATCATTATAATTTTCACTTAAATATGTCTATCTTCTGAAAGGTTAGACTGATGTGGTTAGTAGCTAATGAAGACAATGAATTTTTTGAACACTAGTGTTCTAATAACTTTAATTATAAACCTGATCTTAGTTTGATGAGAATGAATATAATATTTTGTTGAATAAAAAAGAACATGACACTTGGCTTTGGGAGCCAAGAGCAATGTTTCTGCACTGCTATTTCTTCTTATTCTGAAATTTTTCTATGTTACAGGGTTTTATCATATTTTTATGTTATATTTTGAAAAGTGAAGCACCCCTCCACATGCAAGTATTGAGGAAATTAAAGTTGGATAACACCCCAGATGATGATTTTAGCTCTGAATCTGCCAATAGTCCTCTCAGATGTAAGTATTATTTTTGCTAATTTCATTTGTTCTTAGATAAGTAGAACTTCAATTATCTGGATTGATTAGGACCAGACTCAATCTATATATTCAACTATCTTGATAACTGAATAAAACATTAACAAAGGTAATTAAAAAAGCTAAACACCTTGTGTAAATTACAACAGTCTGTAAGCCTGTTGCTTATCTACACTCCATGAAGTCATGGAAGTTAAGCAACTGGACACATCATGGATTCCTAGATAAGTGACCATTGGGGAATCCTGCCAAAGCCACTGGATGAAGGAGTAAAAGGCAATGACTGATTACTGACAGTGCATGACTATTATTGTCAAGTTTGCCCTTTCCTTATTTATGTAAAGATATATTGTATTGATAATGAATTTAATTTGAAGTCATTTATTACTATTAACAAACAGAACTATCATAAGACTCAGTGTGTTACAGATCTTTAAAATATATTTACAATTTAAAAACTACATCAAAAATTATCATATGCACAGTTAGCTACATAGCAGTACAAATAAATGAAGAAAGCTTCTTTAGAATTTCTGCTTACGTCCATATAGCTTACTGTTACTAATATATTTGTTGTGTAATTTGTAAATATGTTTTAAATAATTTTCTAGTTATTTATGAACAACAAGTATTATTACAGTACTGTTTATTGTTTATTTTTGAGTTTTCACTTAAGATGAACTCAGGAGGCCTGCAAATCTGGCAGCTAAAATGTTTGCTTCATGCTCACATTTTGTATTGAATTGCTGAAATTAAAAATAAAGTCTTCAAATGGTTCATATGTAAGTGCTGCTATTAGTACTACTTGTTTGAATGAATTTAACTTTAATTATTTGTTTTTGTAGTCTTCACTAAACAAGACGGTGATGCGGAGAGCGAGGGTCCTCCTCCAAGACCTAACAGTGCCTTAAGTCGGCGAGGCTCTCGAGGCACGGCTGAAGGCCAGCAGGGAGGGTTGGCATCTGGTGATGAGGAGGGAGATGGTGATCCCTCTGAAGGGTTGCTATTGGTGGAAACTGGTCGCAGTTATCGTTGGACACCGCCTTCTGACGGAGCACCCAGTACAGTGGAAACGTATGTTCACAGCGCTGATGGTTCAGCAGAAGAATGTAGTATGAGTTTGAAAATGCATAGAAACATTAAAAGAAACGGCCATACAGTTACGAAGACTGAAGACGTGGACTTGGAAAATTACCACAATAGCCCTCGTAAATATCAACAAGGTGTCACCAACATAACCAATCCTCAAAACTATTCTGAGTATGTTGAAAAAGAGGAACCTAGTGCTAATGCAGGGAATGACCAATGGAAGTATGTGAGAGGGTATCGCACACTTCCCATCCCTGTTCCTCGTCCAGAGCCTGGACAGTGCTTCATTCGTGACACAACAACTCCACCTCTGCTTCCTCCACAGCAGGAAATCATGACCACAAGAGTGTGTGTGGAACTTGGAGTCATTACATCACAAATAGGAGAGCAAGGAACTAGTGAAGATGGGAGCGCTGCAAGTGGAGCTCCTGCTATTGTTCTGTGTAATGTAGATGTAGAGCCATGTCATCGTAGCCTTTTGGAACTCACAGAAGTGACTGCCACTGTAGAAACATGCCACAACCGAAATCCCCATACTGCAGTAGCAAGCATAGCTCTCTCTGATGAGGTCAATTCTCCACCAGAGCTTATTACAGAAAACGGTAAAATGGCTCCAAACGATAAAGAAAAGGTAAGCCCACCAGCGCCTGAACCAGTTAGGGAAGCTGTGCCTGATATTATTGTTGGTGAAAGTGATGACTCTAGGGAAAAATCGCCTTCCTCCTCAACAGTAACAAATGTAGAAAAGTCTGTTCCAAAGTTAAGTGTTGAAACTGTGAAAGATGAAGACAACATGGAAGGAATGTTGAATCGTATATCACATGATCTTGATTACCTCTTAAACAGAAAACCTCACACAAGTAATGGTAATGTTCTTGCAACACCATCCTTCAATCGAAAGACAAGTAAACCTCCATCCACTGCAATTCAGAGTCAAATTAAAGAGGAAGAAGAGGATGAAGAGGACGTACATAAATAAAATTGTCTACATGAAAACATTTTGTCTTTATTAATTGCACCAAAGTTCTAAATTTAAACCTAGTAGATGTGTGCAAATTGCATATATAAACAATTACTATTTACATGTTTGAAGAGTGTATATAATAATTTTTGTCTATTTGACTTACAAAGTATTATGAACAAAATTTAGCGTTGTTACAGAGAAATAATATTATATTTTTGTACCTGAAGTATGTAGCTCATGAAAATTTGTGTGCTATTGACTCATTATATATCATGGTAGGAAAAATTTGGTGTGCAAATTTTTCCATGTTCAGTAAATTACATCTGAAAATCTGGAGTACACATGAGAAACATACAATTTTTGTCTTCAAAATATTGTGTGAAGTATTTATTTAAATGTTGAAAATGCATGTTAGCATAATTGTGAACAAAACATTTTTGGTGTTATGGTGTAGTAGTTTCCTACAGATTATAAATGGCATATTCAAAGAAATGTAATACATAAAACAAGGTTAATCATTCCCATAATAGAAGTGATACGACTTGATATTTGTAATTGAGCACAGTCAATGATAGTGAAATGTCTACCCAGGATATATTGTTATCATTGTTTAATTTTAATAGCACTTAAACTAAAATATGTAGCTTTTCAATTACATTGTGTTTTCATTACATTTGGACCTAATCATTACTGAATTTTATTCTTCTAACATTAAACCTTCCTTTCTTACCCTACTTATTTTCTTTGCTAATCATATTTAGTATTCATTGCCAATGCAATATTTTTTTTCCCCAAAAAAATTATGCAAGATATTCATACAGTTTTTAATAGATTTCATGATGATAGATAAGTGGGCAGTATTACAATAATATGCAATAAATCATTCAATACACCATTACTATGGCCCTTAATTTATTTCTCTTCTATTGAATACACAAATTTAGTACAGACCCCCACAAAATCCATAATTGGATACTATTGCATTACACAAGTACCTTCATCATTGGATACTGGCATTGCACAAATAATAGATTAAACTCGGGTTATTTGATCCTTGATCCTTTGGCATGTGTATGGCACAATTTTATTACATTCAGTGGAGCAAGTAATTGACTTACTAGTATATAAAAACTGTGCTGCTTGTGTTGTTATAAAATGCTGGTATATTAAATTTCATCCTGCTTAATTTTGAGAATAAGGAGGAGCTTTCTAAAATAATATTAATAGAGAAATTTAAAATGAGCACAGGAATTTATCAATTTATTATCACGTATTATATTGTATTCCGAGATGAAGACAAAAATAGTTGTGGCAGAATCTTCCGTCAATGTGTTTGTTTGAACAAAATATCAATTGTTTTATATTAATATGCTCCTCTTTATTGGAAAATAAATCTTTCAGGGTCTTTCATTTTGAAACTTGCTCAATTATGGAATATTATTAGTCAAGAAAATATTAAGTTGATTAGTTACATTTCTTACTGTTCATTTCTATTATGCAGAAATGTTAAGAGTTATAAAACTTAAAAATTCTGCAGTTTATAAAAAAATTATTCTATATTTTTTATTGTGCATCAAATTAATTGTAATTGTTACCTTACAAATGCAATGCTTTTGATCTTAGAAAACACAGTAAAATACCATTAAAAACCTTTTAATTTTCCCTATATGTACTGTGAAAGTGTCTTATAAATGAAAATAATTAAATCACTCTGTCTGTTATATGTATCTGAAGGTATTTTATGTTACGTTCAAGAGAATCTCAAATGTAATGAAAACCTCATTGAGTTTTCTTTCAAGAATTTTGTATTCTAATGACATTACAGAGTATATGTATGCATTTCCAATGTAAATAATGTGGAAAATGAAACTATCATGCGGTTTGTTATTTGTCATAAATCAATTATTATTTGCATATTAATATATACCTTTCAGCAGTTCAACTTTTATTTGAAATTCTTTTGACTTACACACAGCTGACATTATTGTAAAATCCAAATAGGTATATATAATGTTGTTTAGTGTTGTTCTTACATTCTCAAGTCTACTAACAATGCAAAAGGAAGTAAAATAACTTTACAGCTTGACAAAAATTGTATGTTCTTAAAGTATTCTAAAACGCCTTTCATGTTCATAAGTCAATTTATACAACTTAACATTATGAGATGCATTTTGGATATTCATAAAACATTTGACACAATGCTGCCCGCAGTAGAGATTTTAAGAATTCAGTTCAGTAAAATTCAGTTTTCTTGTGATGAATGAGTGTCAATGGACTTTAAGACACTTCATTTAGTAATGTTGAGTTTTCTGCAATTGTTAATATATTTTCTTTCATGACTTGCAACTTTTCAATATTTTGAAATATTGAATTTAACAATTAGCAAAGTCATTTTAAAAATATTTGTTTAAGATATAAAATAATGTAAAAATAAACACAATAATATAATTTTGAATGATTATAATTACAGTTGATGTCTTGAATGTATTTATTCTATTACATTATCTAATTTATTTATTTATTTATTTAAATATTTATTGGCATTGAAATATTTCTGTGTAGTTGAGGGTATCATGAATGACCTTCAAAACATTATCATTAAATTATCTTTTACACTTGTTTGATTTAGATAAAAAAAAAAGTATTTGAAGTTCATTCATGGTCAGTGATCTTTATTCTTAAATATTGTTACCATGCCTAAAATAAATCTAAGCATGACTCATTGTGATATTAAAAACCACACTGAACATTGTATCATCAAAACTTCATATCATATTTCTGTCCTGTAATTGGAAAACTGGATCATTCAATTATAAAAGTTGACAGTTCTCCATTGATGCAAGTTTATATTATTAAGTACCTTAAAAAAATCCCATAAATTTGGTCTCCTGATCTCAGCGTGTAAATTTTGTATTGTTTTATACAACATTGGTATTATCACATTTCTATAATTTTTATTAATTGTAATGGAGCATACTTATGTCAATGGACCACAAAGGTATAATACTGAAAAATAACACAATGTCAGCTACTTCTATTGTACATAGTAACAATATGTAGACTGTAGTTCATGTCCTACAAGCCATTATCACCATAGCTTTTGATGTTAACCTAGGTGGGCAATCTTATTTATTTCATCACTAATCCTTTATTACACTAGTCTTTCTTACGAATAATTTTACCCAGTAGTTCACAGTTTTACTATATATAATGAAATATGTGTGTGTTTATGATGTGAAAGATATTCCTCATAATAGATTAATGTGCCTTGCCAAGTATTGATAAAAACTCTTTTTTCCATATTTCAATATGACAGTGTCGAATTAAGTATTGTTAAATTGAAATATATTCCTTGTAAGTATTAAAGTATTCAATGAATCTGCAACAGCAGTGATCAGCACCCAAGAAAATTTGCTCAAGGGTATTGTTGAATAATGTGAAGGCTACTATTAATTTATACATAATGTGAATGAGTGAAATATACTTAGCAGAATGGATTTAAAATTATATTATTCAAAACAACACTGTACACTGCCCTTTTGTAATCCATTTTAAAAACCATTCCATATTTTTGTAATTCACCAGAACATTTGCCCAATAAACATTGAAAAATTATGAAGTTATACTTGCTTGAAATTTGCAAATGCTCCACAGCATGTCTTAAAAACTATCAAACAAGTTCATCAGTTTACTGAACATCTTCATTGAAATTCAACTACTTACTGCCTTGTTGATTGTTTTAAGAAGGTATTTGCTATAGAACAATGAAATCCTTTGAAATTAAAGAATTAAGATATGTTTTTTATGATACACAAGAATATAATTTTGTCTTAATGTCAGATTCGTTTTAGCATACATTTTTTAACAAAATTTCTAATTTTTCACTGACTAGAAAAAGAGTTAATGTGCAGTCAGTAATATCAATAATCACATACTATGAGAAATGATATTACAATATTCTACATTATACACAAGTGTCTTAATTACAATATGAATTTCAATGTCCTATATATATTTGGAAAAAATATATCACATTCAACTTCTCTTGAGTTTAATGTTTTACAGAATGTGTCAAAATAAATTTTTATTCATTTTTCATTTGACGTGTTTTGAAGGATGCAGAAGTAGATTTTAGAAAAAATCAATAGTAATCAGTGTTAGGCTCTAAATATTTTTTAAATTATCGAATAATTTTGGCAAAAATAGTTAAGTTTCCTTTAGGAAAATATAATGTTAATAATGTTTTAAATTTAACCAATATTATGTTCATATATTTACTTATAGAAAAGTTATTGAGTAATAGAAAATTATCATTAATATACAAGGGTCCATACATTACGTAATGCAAATACGGAGTGTTTTGAATACCCCTTCCCCTCACTGTAACGCACCCATAATGCGTGCTTGAATGCTCCCAAAGTAATCATGTAACACTTGACCCCCCAGTTACTATAAATAAAAATAAATTATACCACAGAAGAAACAATTTGTATTAATTTATGTTATATTTTAAAATTTATGATAATAAGTAAAAAATTAATTGGCAATGCTGACTACATTTAACAGTTAGGAGCTGGATTTTGATGACCTAAAACATTGCCAAAATTAATCAATAAAAATTACTAAAAATGCATTAAAATGCTCTACAAACACAAACAAAAATGTAAAAAAATTTGATTGAAACCACTTCAGATGAACAACTCAAGTTGTTGCATATGTTACTAATCTAATTGAGACTTCTTCCTTTTGTTCAAGTGAACTCAGCTTGCAAACTTTTGGTTTGGACTGTTAATTAAAAAAAAACTCTGTCTTTATTCTCGCGAAGTTAGCTGAACTGACAATGGCCCTGAAAGGCATCAGGAATCTTAGATTACATAGTAATAACAATATATGAGGGAAGAAATCAAAAAGGCTACTCATGAATTCGTGGTGAACATTTGTTGCATCTCATTAATATTATTTGAAGCAAGTACCATTAAAATGTTATTTAAATGGATGAAATCAGTTAAAAAAGCATTAAAAATGACGTAAAACAATAAAAAATTGCTTATTAGTCATAACGGACAAAAAATGCAAAAAAATGACGTATAATAATAAGTTATTTAGTTCTGTCATAACATAAAATGCATTTCTATACTTAATGGCATTGTTCTAAAGTGAAAAGGAAAAAGATGACATTTCATTAAGATCTGTCCTATATACTCTCTGTCTGTCCTCTAGTAACAATGATATTGGGAACAAGTGTGTGAAGGAAGGATGCACTCGTCATGGATGACGCAGGAGCAACAATCTACTGCACCCATTAATTGGATTCTAGAATATACGATGGATCAGTTTTGAATATTTTCTTCGTAATTTTAGAGATTCAATAAAAAATTATGAAAAAATATTTTCACTTATTGTAACAAATTACTCAACTTTATTTTATTTATGTTTTTTAAAAAGTAATTAATATTTTAGTGTTTTGGTATAAGAAAGAAAAAAGTAATTGTTTCACAGAATGTCAAAAAATTAAAAATAAATCAATGTTATGAATTATTAAGTAACACATGCCTTCCCCCAAATAACGCAGCGTAATGCTGCTTCAAATCCCCTCCCTCCCTCTTTAGCCTTTCGTAATTTATGGACAAATCCGAAGAATCATACTTTTTGTCATGAAGAACAAATAAAGTGTTCAAAATTAAAAGCATTCCTTAGAACTAATTTTTGGCATTATTCTTTTAAATGTTTTTTCTTTCTTTCTCCCTGAAATAATATACAATCTTTAAGGTGTTGTAAAAATGATTCACAATAATTATGTGGAGGATCATAATGGAGAAGTTGAATCTTTAAAAATTAAATAATCTCTGTACATCTGTCAAGTTTTCCAGGTCAACATCACATTATAAAAAACTGTTATCACAATTTGAGAAATAATTATATTATGACTAGAATTACAAACTTTACTTTTGTTTTGAATTGGCCAATTTTATGAATATTCAACTAGATTTGCTTTTTATATGTTGATAATAACCTTTTAGTGAAAAAAATTGTTCTCTTTATTTTGAATAATTCCAAACTAAAACCATCTCTCAAGAAGCTTCCGGAGAAAATAAGAGGTCTGGGGTAGCAATTCCATTAGAGTCCCTGATTTCAAACAAAAGATCCCCATTTTTCAATACAAAAACTGAAATCGTGTCACCAAGTAACAAAAATAACATATAGTGGTTATTTTGTATTAGAGAGGTAAATATATGTTATTTGTTTTGAATAAAAGCAAATGAGACCCCAATTACATTGCAGCCTGAGAAAGTTGCCTCAGCTGCCCCCCCCCCCCCCCCCCTCCACCACCGCCTTCATCCCTGTGTGTCATTGCCAGCTCATTGAGTGCACGTGCAAGTACCACCACTCTCTGTACAATGCAAAATTTAACTCTTGTATCATTATGAGTTCATTTTACTCTTTGATTTCTAGACAGACTTGACAATAAAGCTTGTTACATTTTGATGCATTCATACTGGAATGCACTGCTTAAAGTGGGTAGAATTAAAGTACAAAACCATTAATTCTTATTTTAGTTAATACTGTTGAAAAATACCTGAACAAATGCCATTTAGAATGGCTTTCCATGCATTGTACCATTATTTTTCTTGCGGTGTGGCTGGCTTTAAATAAGTTAAATAATAATGCCTTTTAACTAACAACCATACACTCTTAGGACAATTTTTCAATTGATTTCAGAATGAAACGACCAATCTAATTAAATTAATATATGAAAAAAGACAAATGTAAGTATGTAACATATTTTTATTCATCATTATATGAGTAAGTGGAATTATCGCTTAATCCATTAGAATTGATTTTGCTAAGCCTTGCCTGTTGTTTAGTATTGAATGTTTGGCAATGGCTAGATAAGAGAAACTTTTAAAATTGAATTAAACATCAAAAGACAGTTAAAAACTTTGTGTTGATGAACCAATTGAGAGAAATGTGTATGTCTTCTTGCAATTTCTAGGTTATCTACCCAACTACACACGAGTTGAAATATTTGAGTTCAGATGGAAAGAGAGATTTTGGCAACAATTGATAGAAGATATTAGCTCTTTAGTAGAAATTACTATTTGCAAACACCAAATTAGCTAACAGAATTTGGCTATTTTTCCACTGTCAGCAAGGAATTTCCAACTTGCTGCCATGAAAATATAGAAAATATTAATTTAAATAAATGTATACCCATTCATCTCTAGAAAATGTGCACAGAGAGTTGAAGTTACATTAATAAACAGATGTGAGTGATGTTAACAATTTTACAAATGTGCGAAATAGTTGTAACAAAAGTTTATTTGTTGAGTACTAAAATTTTCTGTCTATGCTTGACTCTTGAAACAAGCATGCACTACTTGATTAGTATTGTGATCAATCAATTTCTTTGAATATTTTTTTTAATGCTGATGTGGTATATTTAATGTGTAAGCAGTGACCTATAGCACCAAAAATTATTGCCTGAAAAAAAACAACACACAAAAGGGTTGTCCGATGATAGGTACCGTGCCACATAGTTGGAAGACCAAATAAAGTACTATCAAAATATCTTTTAATAAATTAAAGTTTTTAAGAAAATTGGGTTATTGAGAGTTTTTTAAAATGTAATTTATTAAGTCAATTTTCAGCCCTTGGAATTTAGGTTATGCATTATTGTGTAAATCATAATCCTGGAAAAGCGGATAAATGTGATACACTTTACTATAGCCCTCAGGATTTATAATTTATGACAGAATAAAGGCTTTATAAATCTCAAAACACAAACATTTGTCTTCAAATGTTTAGAAAACTCAATAATGATTTAATCAAATATTGCTCTTAATTAATGAATTTTTGCAGTTTTTTATAAACATTTTTGAGGCATTTCAATTGTTATGTTTTTTATAATTGCTTCAAAAAAACGGTGTTTTACTCTATAAGGAAACTGATGGTAAAAAATTTTAAATGTTGAAAATAACAAGGTGTTAAAATGTTAAAAAAAAAAAAATGTATGCAAAAATGTTACTATTCCATGTTGTAATCATCTTCCTCAAATTGAATTGTTTGATGTGATGATTTGTGACTTTTACCCTCTCATTGTTGATTATTAAGTTATTAGAATAATAAACATAAGAATAATAATAATATAATTATAATAATAATAATAATAATAAATAATAATAATAATAATATAATAATAATAATAATAATATTTATTCAGTGACATATACAATACAATCGTGATATGCACGAGTCGAATATGTATGCTTGGTGGAGAGAGCAAAGTTATATTACTGTTCAGAGCAAACAAGCGGTCCATCCAGATTTGCTCAAAGGACAGGAAAACTGAACAAAACCTGATCGGATGGCGGTCATTTGGCTAAAAACAATAACTTATTACAGTTTAGATTAAGATATTATACAGTAGATTAATTATCTGCTAATTAATTACATTTCAATATGATGTTTAATGCTACTATTATAATAATTCATATTTTCATATTCATATTCATATCCATAATAATAATTAATATAATAATAATAATTAATAATAATAATAATAATAATAATAATAATAAAATAATAATAATAATAATAATAATAATAATAATAAATAATAAAATAATATAATTAATAATAATAATAATAATAATGAATAATAATAATTAATTAATAATAATATAATAATAATAATAATAATAATAAATATAATACTAATAATAATAATAATAATATAATAATAATATTATAATAATAATAATAAATAATAATAATAATAATAATAATAATTAATAATAATAAATAATAAGTAATAATAATAATAATAATAAATATAATAATAATAATAATAATAATAATAAATAATAATAATAATATATTAATAATAATAATAATAATAAAATAATAATTAATTTAATAATAATAATAATAATAATAATAATAATAATAATAATATAATAATATATAATATAATAATAATATAATAATAATAATATATAATAATAATAATATAATAATAATTAATAATAAATAATAATTAATAATAAAAATAATAATAAATAAATAATAATAATTAATAATAATAATATAATAATATAATTTAAATAATAATAATAATAATAATAATAATAATAATAATAATAATAATAATATAATAATAATAAATTAATAATAATAATAATAATAATAATAAATATTAATAAATAATTAATAATAATAATAATAATAATAATAATAATAATAATAATAATAATAATAATAATAATAATAATAATAATAATAATAATAATAATAATAATAATAATATAATAATAATAATAATAATTATATAATAATAATATAATAATAATTAATAATAAAATAATAATAAATAAAATAATTAATTAATAATAATAATAATATAAATAATAATAATAAGGTTTTCCTTTATCGATATATCAATACCCAATACCCACAACCATACGGGAAAATATCAAGAAGAAGATCCAGAGTATACCAATCTCAGCCTATGAAGTCCGCCAACTCAGTGGGAACTTCAGTAAAGTGACGACTGTGCTATAATATATCGCTACGGGTGAGTGATCCCGAAAATGACACTTCGAGGGCACTGAGTTGTCTTCACTTGGATAACAGAAATGTAATATAATTATGCAAAAGACAGTAAATTTTGAATACATGCCGTGATTGTTTTCAGAAGCCATCTGGAACCTTCAGTAAAGCACCACACACTGGTTCATCATACCTGTGGTGTGCGTTGACATACCCGACCAGTAGATACTGCTGAATATGTTAAGATAAAATAATAATAACAACAACAACAACAACAACAAACATATAATACTTACCAATTTATGTTTGCAACTACGCTCAAATTTAACAATAGCTAAACATTCTATATGATAACTTGAAAATTGGTAGCGAGGCAAGTTTTTTGACCAGTTTTTGCTTCTTTTCTATTCTCCCTTCTATTTCACAGATGTGATATGGCAGTTCTTTTTTCTTTTGCTCAGCTTGAAACAGTTACATGAAAACAGAAAGTCTAATGGTGATAAAAAATTCTTATTTATTTATATTTTTTAAGGGAAAAATGTATTAATATTGGAAAAAAATATCAATTTTACAAACTGTTATTAACAATTTTTTAAAGGTCATGAGAACCAGCTTATCTTATAATATATACTTTTAATGTAAATAGAATTTGAAAACTTAACAATGTTTATGTCTTGATATCAATTGCCTAGTTTGTAATGTTTTTAAGTGTAATGACTTCTCTATTAAGTGGTTACTATTTTGATAAAGTGTAGGTTCAGAGTGGGGAACGTGTAGGTTATCCTTTTGACGGGAAATAGTTGTAGTTATGATACAATCAGAATTTAAAAGTAAAGTGTCCTTTGTTTTCCATGAGAATTTTCTTTTGAAGACCACTAATTTCAAATAGTACCATTGCAATTGAGATAGAGGAATAATCCTTGTTTATTTAAACAAGGGTTTGCAAGACTCCAGCTTATGGATGCTGGTCATTGTTCGCAAGTATTCCTTTTGAAATTAAATTAAATGTTGCTAGTGCTTTCAGAAGCATTTCCCCAAATATTTATTCCATATTTTAGGTTGTGTGACAACATTTGCAAAATAAATTGTTCGAAGTGTCTCAATGTTTGGAGCTTTGACCTGTGGGTGGAGTATAGGGCATAGCAAATTTGCTGAGCTTCTTGTTAAGATTGAGGATGTGAGTGTTCCTTTTTACGGTTTCTTGAATTGTTAGTCCGTAGAAGGTAGGTTTTCATGAGATATCGTTACACGGTTTATTGTTTATGAGCAATGCTGTGAGAGTTTTTCTTTTAATCGAGGATTCATGGAAATTTAGAGAGACTGTCTGCGGGGTGCTTTTATTGATGATTTTGTTGTCTTGAAACCATTTTACTAGTGCTTGCAAAGTTTGTGAGTTTCGAGAGATTATTTATGATTTATATAATTAATTTATTAAATTCTGTCTGGGAGACCTAAACACGCTCATCCAGTCTTCATACAGCTCCTTGCAGAAAAAATATGTTAAACATATTAACTATTTGTATATATTTACTTGTTTTAAATCAGATTGCACAAATCAAACAGAAGAAAGACTGAATAATAATCTCCTAGTGCTAGCGTTTGACAGCGGACTCTAGGCGGCTCGAAGAGAAACTGTGGATGTCAAATTTCGCGACAGTTGTAAAGTAACTGCCACGAGCAATACGCGGGTCTCAAGCGCATGCTCCCCAAGTGAAGATAACGAGCTGGCACGTGCAAGAAATGTATATTACATTGTACAAGCTGATTCGGTTTCGAATCAATGGATAAAGATTACTATCAAGGAGCGCGATTTTGTGCAATACGATTACTTGTAATAATAGAGCTTCGGGCACTGCGCAGTGTTAATCTACAGCACAATGCAAATGTCAGCGAGGATTGTGCAAGTTAAGTTGTGTAGTTATCAAAATATATGTGTCGTGAATACTGACGGATTTAATTCTTATAAAATTTGTTCACTTCATCATATTGACGTTAATCGATTTAAGAACGTGCAAGACAATCTTCGCTCAATGGAAAGCCGACATCACCCCTACAAGTTTTTGTAGCTCTGCGCACCCTTCGGAGACTGGTTAGTCTTTTCAACAGTTTTTATTTTCTTGTTTTTGTAGTAATAGTAATTAATGAAGTGATTTCAATTTCAAGCAAACATATTTCTACCCGTTAATTTTTTATTGATTGGAATCGTCTGGAACGACTTGAATCATTTTAACTGACAGTTCGCGCCGCTATCAGGCGTAGCCGCAAAGAGGAATCATTGGATGGTTAAGGGGGTAGGGAGTGTATCTTGGTGTATCTGGTGGGTCCTGAGAGTTTTCATAGTGGAGCCACAGGCACAGCAAGGCTGAGGACATGGTATTAATATAAAAAATAACTAGCTTGCTAAGAGTTCCCGGGCATTACCTGCAGAGCAACTGCCGCGAGGTTTAAAAGTGAAGGTCATGCTTCGGGGTGGCGGTATGTCACTGGATACTTGACTCCTAAAAGTCCTTTCGAGTATTGCCCCAAATTTAGAGGTATTCATTCATATTTACTCTACTAAAGAAAATAGAGTATCCATTAAAATGAAATGCATCGTAAATATTGCAACTTACCGAATGTATAAAATGTTAAATTAAACATTTTGAATAAAAAAATCTGGCTTTTGTATTAGCTTACCCTTAAGAAAGAAATAACTTTCAACATTCAGATTAAAAAACTTGTGGTGCTACGACAGCTCTTACTTTCTCACATTATTTACGACTTTCTTAATTTTCGAAAATTCAGAGTTTATGGAAAATGAAAAGTACGCAATTTGTAAAACATCTTTTACTCTAACCCTAAAATAATTTAATAAATTGAAGCCGTTCCTGAGAAATAAATGCAATAATATCTAGGAAAAATTACGCAAAAACAGCTAGCTTTTTCCAAAAATTGTGCAAGGCCTTTTTCAAAGATTAATTTTTTAAAACCAATTTTATTGAAGAACAATCTCTACCATCAATAGTATACTTTAGAAATTAAATGATATTCCTATTTTCGAAAGTCAAAGAGTTCGCTGAAAATGGGAGCAGCATCAATTGTTTGAAAGCCCTCGCCGACGCCCTCGCCCTCGCCATCGCCACCCCCATTGACATTACCTCCGCCAACGCTCTCGCTCACGCCCTCACCCCGTCCTCGCCAATTCACATGCTCTCGCCAACGCCCCCGCGCTCGTTATAGCCCTAGAAGTCGCATCGCCCTTGAACTTGCCCTCGCCTGCGCCCTTTTCGCCACCGCCCTCGCTCTCTCCCTCGAGCTCGCCCTAGTCAGCGCCTGTACCCTCGACATCGCCCTCGATTTCGCCTTCCACCTCCCCAACGCCCACGCCCTCGCAAACACCCTCACCCGCGCCCTCGACACCGCCCACGCCCTCGCGAAAGTCAACGTCCTCGCCATCGCCATCGCCACCGCCTTAGACCTAGTCCCCACTATCGCCCCCGCCAAAGCCCTCGCCCCGCTATCGCCTTCGCCATCGCCCTCACCATCACCCTTTCCCTCGCTCCTGCTCTCGCCAACGCCATCACCACTGCGGTTGCTAACGCCATCGCTATCCCCATCGCTCTCGCCATCGCCCTGGCTATCGTCAACGCCCTTCGCCCTCGCCTATATGTCCTCGCTTTCGCCTTCACTATCGCCATCGCTTTCTCCTCTAATCCGGAATGTAGCCCACGGGGGAGTATATATACGCGCACATATGTTTGATCCCCAGAATATCTGCCTGCACTCCTTTATTAACATTTGTTAAATTATAAATGCTAGCGAGGTGCATTGTTTACAAAATCTGATAACAGGAAATATTCACACCCGAATAATAGAAACATTTTTATGTATCGAAAAACGAGCGACCCATTTAATATAGTAGTTCCGTCCTCTCGCATCTTGCAGCATGAACAGGTGCGCGGATTATGGCCCCCCTCGGGGCAAGCTGCACGCGCCTAAGAGAGGTCTTGCGGATTCGGTAACTGTGCGGGACCGCCGCGAGGAAAAAAGAAAAATCAGCACACGTGTGTCGAGGAGAACAAGTCAATTTAGAATGTTGGTTTAAAATGCAATGTAAAAGGAGCCAGTGCTACATGTTCTTTGATACTTCAACTTGTTTTGCATCTTTACTTCATTAATGCGGTCTGAAGTTGCTTTGCAAAGTCATGAATGTGAACTGGTAATTTGTGAGCATAACTGGAGGAAGGCTTCGTCGCAGGTTATCGTCCTCCTGAGTGAAGATATATTCACAAGTTATTCGTACTACTGTCAGTAAGTTAAGTCTTGACCTCATATTCTCCAACGACCTTCTTCCCAGAAGGCAGCTTCAAAAGGGTGGAAGGTCTTGCCATTTCCTGGATGAGAATTGTAGAGGCCGACTGCTGTGAACAGTTGCTAAGGTTTTCTCCGATCAGTTATTTTTTGTTAGGGCTATTTCCGACAAGTCAGCCAGTCACCCGTTACGTCTCCATGGGACAAATATTCGACCATACACTAGACACAAATACATTAGCGGGCTCCTCTGATCTGGGGACAGCAGAACGCGAGGCCATCCGCGACAACTCAAACATGAGAGACAAGGGACAAACAACCAAGGCGGTAGTCGAGCCAGCGACTCTTCGGACCGAAGCGTTGAGTTAGTACACGCTCTTAGCCACCTCGGTCATCCAGTTCGGGTTCAGGCTGTTGCCGGAGCAGTACCTCAGAAATCAGGCCATGGACCGTTGTAGTTCTACCAATAAGCACAATTTTAGAACTGCTCAAAAAAAGGCTTTTCATCGTATGTGGTGAATATGTGCCGAATGGTTAATGTACACGAATGTCGAGTAATGAGATCTAATATCAAGTAATGATATCTAATTGTTGAAAATGTTAGATTACGCTTGTCATTTTTTACTTGAAATGTTTGAATTTCCACTTTCAAGAACAATTATTTTGCAGTGAGCGCTTTTCAAAATTTTTAACTTGTGTGTATTTTTATCTCGTGCTTTTGTCTGATTCGATGATATATTATTTGCCTTTTGTTCACTCGTGATAATTTTACTAAATCAGAAGTTGACCATTTAATGAGAATCAAACTATCTGTAAATAATATAACTACAAGTGGACATTTGTCTTTTATCTTTTTACAATAAACTTGAATTCTCTATATGCTTTTAATTGTCCATAAGACGTTCTGTTTCAAATTTACTTTTCAATTTATTTGTGATCAAGTCTTTCCAGCTGTGACATTACTTTGTATTTATGTTGACTATTATTACTCGCGCAACTTTTCTTGAACGATGGATCGAAGAAATGTGGGTAGAGTGAAGGTATTAGTTATGAAATTGGCCACTAAATTTTATGAAACAATTCCAATCTCTGAAGAATTAGCAATGTCTTCGCAACTTTCTCAATAATTTGCGTTCTAACTTTCTCAGTAGTTCGAGATGGTTCATCACATGCTTCGGTCATTTCTTTAGATTTATTGGAGGAAAATCACGGACAGAAGTTCTCGTCTTCAACAGAAAATAGTTTCTTTTTCCCCCCAGGGAGGAATGTTGACTTCAGTGCTCGCTGCGAGCTTTTGCCTTCAACTGTGTATTATGCCAGAAAAGGGGAAGCAAGGTCATAGTTCATGAAAAGTTGCGCAAGTAATATCATCAAGATCAATGGACTCAGCAGAATCAACAATTTTCCACTTTTTAGGTTAATCAGATTTGCACTTATCATATCATCACCAAATTTTCATGCACATTACCTGGCGAATCTGATAATTTAGTCAAACAAGTAGTGAAGCTGTTCTTTTGATTTGACAAATAATTTCAGATCATTGATGTATAACAGACGGTTAATATTATTATTTGATCATAAGGTTCGTTGGTATTCGTGCGTTGTACTACGAAGTGGATTTATGCCATGCAGAAGTACAACGCATTTAATGCGTCATTTTAAAAGATACCTTTTGTAATATACTAAATGAATCTTGGGATGCAGACCGATGTTCAGTTGAAAGAAATGTACTTAGGTTTTCCATGAACTGACGAAGAAAGTAAGATACTTGTGGAAATACTTGGTACGTTTTTAAAGTGTGTAATAGATAGGAATGTGTAATGGAATCGAATGCATTACTGTAACCAATGTCACTATTGTTTTGGGTTTGGTTGTTGTTTGCTATTCAATTATGCCAATAATCAGTTATTCTTTGTATACCTGCAGGAATAGTATTCCTTCTGTTTTTCTGTCGTAATGTGTTTTTATTCCAAATGTACGTAGATCTCAAATATGAAATTGCCTGTTAAATACTCATACTTAAATATTGTGAGCAATGTATTAATTGGGCGATAATTGGTCGAATCACCAGTATAGAAATATTTAGGCAGTAGAAGTGTTTTTTCTGTAGAAAAGAAATAGATTATCAAAATGAGAGATGATTTCTTTCTACCATTCTGCAAGGCTTTGGTAAAAAACATGTAAATTGTTTGTACAAAACTTTTGTATTTGGTCCGATCCTAGAGCCTTACAATTGGTGATTTTTTGTACATCTCTCCTTTTTCTTGTTAGTGTTATTATCATTGTTATTTTTAGTGTTATTATTACTATTTTTCGTCTTCTTCTTATGCTTATTATTATTATTATTATTATTATTATTATTATTATTATTATTATTATTATTAATATTATTATTAATTTTTGTTGTTGGTATTGAAATTCTGCATTCGAGAGCCCAGCAACCCATGAGGACGCGACCGTCTCCCTTTGATTCTTGTTGAACGAGCACCACACCACACATTCACCCGAAACGATTCGAAATAAACCTTTGTTTACACAAAGGTTTATTTCGAAACAAACAAGATGATCTCAAACTGCGATTAATTCCAAACATATCAGGAAAACATCTAGGTTCGCATCATTTGACAACAGGTTCAGAATGATGGAGTAAAATAACTACTGATATTAAAGGTTATTACATCCAGAGGATGTCCCGGTCTCATCTGGTAGAACCTGTCCGAAGCGAGAAACCTGTTGCATGCGGTGAAACACAATTCCGCTTCGTGAGTGCACTCCTGGTGAAGTCGAAGGGTGCAAATA